CACACACACACACACACACGCCTCTCTGGAAGGGTTTTTTTTGTTGTTGTTTGTTTTTTTAAGAGTGAGTTTTGCTCTTGTTGCCTAGGCTGGAGTGCAATGGCGCAATCTCGGCTCACTGCAACCTCCACCTCCTGGGTTCAACCGATTCTCCTGCCTCAGCCTCCTGAGTAGCTGGGATTCCAGGCACCCACCACCATACCTGGCTAATTTTTGTATTTTTAGTAGGGACAAGGTTTCACCATGTTGACCAGGCTGCTCTCAAATACCTGACCTCAGGTGATCCGCCCACCTCAGCCTCCTAAAGTGCTGGGATTACAGGCATGAGCCACCACACCTGGCTGAAGGGTCTTTAAAACAATTATCTCAGAGGAGTTTTTGCTTTCCCCTCTTTTGTCTCCTGAGTCTTCTGAATGAATATCCAGTTTTAAAAATAAACGCTCATTTAAGGAAAATCAGCTTTTCTATTTTTATCCTAATTCAACACTGACATTTAGCTGTGGTTTTTCATCCTAGAGGTCTCTGCAATTGTTTTGTGCCTAAGCTCTCTAGTGCTAAATAGTAGAGAACCAAATGAGAATCGAATACATATTTTTTCCTAATTCGATTAAAAAAAAATCAAAGAAATTTCCAGGCATTAAGGAGTTTTACGTTTCTCCAGTTTTATTACAGGCAGACAGTGGAGCAAATAGAGGGCCTGCTTTCCAGCAATGAGAAACTTTAAGCCCACATTTCATGCATTATTATTATTATTATTATATTAGACGGAGTCTCACTCTTGTTGCCCAGGCTGGAGTGCAGTGGCACAATCTTGGCTCACCACATCCTCTGCCTCCCAGGTTCAAGCAATTCTCCTGCCTCAGCCTCCCGAGTAGCTGGGATTACAGGGATGTGCCGGCTAATTTTTTGTATTTTTAGTAAAGACGGGGTTTCTCCACGTTGATCAGGCTGGTCACAAACTCCCAACCTCAGGTGATCCACCTGCCTCGGCTTCCCAAAGTGCTGTGATTACAGGTGTGAGCCACTGCACTCGGCCATTTCATGCATTATTTTTTGAACGTGATTAGCTGTTCAGGCCAACAGCCTGTTAAAAAGATTTCATTCAGTGTGAATTTTATTTGGCAGAGGAAATCGAGGAACATCCAGGAATGAAAGTGTCTCACTGGGCACAGTGGCTCAACTGTATAAATGGCAAAGCAAAATGCAAATTTCTAACGTTCTCCCATAATCCAATAGTGTTACTCAAGTTAACATGGTGTAATTTTATGCTTTTAAATGACTTAAATGTTACTCATATTACAAAACTACGAAACACTCTTTGTTTTGAGACAGAGTCTCGCTCTGTCACCTGGGCTGGAGTGCAGTGGCTCGATCTCGGCTCACTGCAACCTCCACCCAGGCTGGAGTACAATCGCGTGATTTTGGCTCACTGCAACCTCCAACTCCCTGATTCAAGCAATTCTCCTGCCTTAGCTACCTGAGTAGCTAGGATTACAGGTGCATGCCACTACGCCTGGCTAATTTTTGTGTTTTTAGTAGAGACAGGGTTTCACCATGTTGGCCAGGCTGGTCTTGAACTCCTCATCTTGTGATCTGCCCGCCTCAGTCTCCCAAAATGATGGGATTACAAGTGTGAGCCACTGCGCCTGGCTGAAATACCCTTTTTAATAATACTTCATGAAAACAAAATTCTTAGGAGAAATGGTACATTAAAGCTTCCCAGTAGAGCTCATATTGTGGTTTATGAATTTCTTCATCACATGTGTCTGACTCTACAGAAAAGCAATGGCATGAAAATCAGCAGCATCTTTACCTTTATCAATAAGCCGAATGCTGTCTTTGGGTCACATTTTGTTGGAATAACATTTCCTTCAAAATCTTTGATCTTTTTACCACATTTCTTCAGCAGAAAATATGACAAAAATTCCAGAGGTTTGTCCTAAAAAAATGCCACCCCCCCCAAGAAAAATTCCTGTTTAAAACATTCATCTGAAATACAGGTGTCAAGAATGCAGCAGAAGAGAGAAGAGACTTTTTAGCAGGGATTTCAGCTTTCTACTTAATTAATTTACATGTCCAGAAAACAAAGTGACTAGTACTCAATTCGAGTCGGTACACAAGACTTTCTAGTTAATCTCATATTCCAGTTACCATACATTCATCCCCATCCAGTTAAGACACCGGAGTCTGATAGGAGGGTCTCTCAAGATCTTTGGAACCAAAGTGGCCCACACCAGCCTCTTGGCCAAATGAGGAAAGGGGACAGGCAGGATCTTGTTGTCTTTCATGGGAAAGAAGAAGGCCTGGGAGAGAGGCTGCAGTAGCAGAATTGCTGGAAAAAGCATGCTGAGGCTCTCAAATTTGTTTCCCTCTCAGGCTGCAGGTTTGAGCACCATCCAAATTATATCATACCTGGTTATTTTTAAATAATTAGCTGGAAATAAGTACACTGAACCTACACCAAGCACACTGAGTAATCCTTTGGTATTTTGGGAGACAGTGCAGGGGCATCTCTGTGAATATCCCCGCTCTAGTTTTTTTTTTTTTTTTTTTTTTTTTTTTTTTTTTTTTTTTTTTTTTTTTTTTTTTTTTTTTTTTTTTTTGAGACAAATTCCACTCTGGTTGCCTGGGCTGAAGTGTAATGGCATGATCTCAGGTCACTGCAACCTCTGCCTCCCAGGTTCAAGTGATTCTTCTGCCTCAGCCTCCCGAGTAGCTGGGATTGCAGGCATGCACCACCATGCCTGGCTAATTTTGTATTTTTAATAGAGATGGGGTTTCTCCATGTTGATCAGGCTGGTCTCGAACTCCCAACCTCAGGTGATCCGCCCACCTTGGCCTCCCAAAGTGCGGAGATTACAGGAGTGAGCCACCATGCCCGGCCTATCCCTGTTCATTTTATCAGCAAGGCTCACCAAAGGCGTTTCATCATTAGGCTGCCTGAGTCTCACTGCAGAGCTGAGACTTCACAGAAGACAAACTACAGCTAATGCAGCTTCACAGCCCACACCCAGTGCAGGACAGCTAAGCCCAGAGATGCCTGGTGCAGACTCGGGAAGCCACGTTGAAGCAGGAGCAGATACTCAATGATAAGGAGAGAGAGATGTGTGCAGAG